TCAAACAAGCAGCAGCTGGCCTCAGCAAGATGCATACCTCTCACTAAGTGGCCCCAGGCCTAGCACTAGAAGCAGCAGGACTTGTTCAAGCCTGGCCTTGCCTGGGCACCTCCAAGCCCAGCACAAGAAGCAGCCACCTGCAGGTCACTTTGTAGCTTATGCCTGGTGGCCCTGGGTAGAACATAGGCAGTGTCTGACCTTGCCCCAGAGCCAGCACACCCAGTGGACAGCTTCAGACCACATTGAAGTACCACCACCTAACCACCTCCACAAGTGATACACTCAAGGAATGGACTCAGTGGGTACCAGAGCCCTGCTGAAGTAAGTCTTGCTCTGTGTGTTGGGCCCCTACACAGCTGATCCTCCAAGGTAGTCAGAGGCCAGTGGTCAGTGGGCACAGCCAGTCCTTGCAGCTGATCAGCCTGAGTAAATCCCTCCCATTGACATGCCAACAGCAATCAAGACTCAATTACAACAGAAGGGTGTATAGTCCACATGAGGGGTGCACCTCAGGGACCCAGCTGGGGTGGTTAGGGATGCTGTGCCACTGGACCCTACAGGACATCTACAACAACAGTCCTAGGAAGCCTAGGAGACATAGCAACTCTACCTAATATGTCGAAACAAACACAGAGAGGCAGCCAAAATGAGGAGACAAAGAAACATGTCCCAAATGAAAGAACAGAACAAAACTCCAGGAAAAGAACTAAACAAAATGGAGATAAGCAATCAATCAGATGCAGAATTCAAAACACTGGTTATAAGGATGCTCAATGAACTTAGTGAGACCTTCAAGTAACTTAAGGAGAACTCCAAGGAACCTAGAAAGAACATCAACAACATAACAAAGGACTAGTCAGAAATGAAGGATGCACTAACTGAAATAAAAAACAATTTACAGGGAATCAATAGTAGAATAGGTGAAGCCAAGAAACAAACCATCAATTTGGAATATAAGGAAGCAAAAAACACCCAATTGGAACAGCAAAAAAAAAAAATGAGGATAGTGTAAGCAGCCTCTGGAACAACTTCAAGTGTGCCAACATTTGCATCATGGGGGTGCCAGAAGGAGAAAAGAGAAAGCAAGAAATTGAAAACATATTTGAAAAAATATGTTTCAAACATATTTGACAGTAAACTTCCCTAGTCTGGCTGGTGTAGCTCAGTGGTTGAGTGTCTACCCATGCACCAAGAGGTCACCAGTTTGATTCCTAGTCAGGGCACATGCCCAAATTATGGGCCCAATCCTCGGTGGGGGGCATGCAGGAGGTGTTCAATAGATGTTCTTTCTCATCGATGTTTCTATTTCTCTCTCCTTCTCTCTTCCTCTCTTTCTCTAAAAATCAATAAAGAAAAAGAAAATTTTCCTGACTTAGTGAAGGAAGCAGACACACAAGTCCAGGAAGCACAGAGAATCCCAAGCAAGATGAACCCAAAGAGGTCCACAACAAGACACATCAACAAAATGCTGAAGGCTAAAGACAAAGGGCAAATCTTAAAAGCAGCGAAAAAAGCAGTTCATTACCTACAAAGGAGCTCCCATAAGACTGTCAGCTGATTTCTCAAAAGAAACTTTGCAGGCCAGAAAGGAGTGGCAGGAAATAAGCAATGACCTGCAAGCAAGATTACTCTATCCTGCAAAGCTATCATTTAGAATCAATGAACACCTCAAGAGTTTCCCAGACAAGAAAAAGCTAAAGGAGTTCATCACCACCAAACCAGTATTATATGAAATTTTGAAGGGTCTTCTTGAAGAAGAACAAAAATATGAACAATAAATGGCAATTAATACATATCTATCAACAATTGAATCTACAAACAAAATGAGCAAGCAGAACAGAAACAGACTCATAGATACAGAGAACTTTTTTTGGTTGCCAGATGGGAGGGGGATTGAGGGGGTGGGTTACAAAGGTGAAGGGATTAAGAAGTACAAATTGGTTGTTAGACTGATGAACCTCAAAGGGAAAGGGGCAGGGAGGGTGGGATGAGATAAACCAAAGAACTTCTTTGCGTATATGCATAACCAATGGACACCGACAGTAGTGTAGGGAAGGCAGGAAATGGGTGGGAGTGGGGAGGAGGGGGTCAATGGGGACAAAAATGGGGAACATTTATAATACATTCAACAATAAAGATAAGTTTTAAAAGGGGGGGGGAAGATAGTGGTGAGGGAGAGGGAGTACCTCAGGTATAAAGGAGACAAAAGAGTTCCCCACTCACCAGGATGGGGTCTCGACTGTTCATCTCCAGTCGTCCCTAAGGATTTTAATACTCGTGGCTGATCCCTGTTCTGTCCTGCCTAATCCCTCACATCGTACTCAGCCTCTCATGTGTCTGTGCAAAAATCTGGACAAAGCAGGATCAAGCGTTACAACCAGGGCCCAGAGAGGTCCCAGGTTGTTCCCAGGGCCACACAGCAAGGGTGGAATCTCCAAGACCTTCCCACTGAGAATATTGATCGCACAACGCCAGGCCCTGTGCTGGGCCCTTCAGCATGCATGACCTCACTGATTCTTCACAGCAGCAAAGGAGACCGGGGCCAAGGAGAAGTCTCCTGCAAGCAGCAGCACCAGGACTTGAACCCGGTCTGACTGACTCCTCAGCCTGTCCCTTATGAGAAATTCTCCTGCCGCTGTGTAGCCCAAACATTCTCACTCTAAAGATGAGAATTTTGTAACCAGAGAGGCGAAGTGTCCTGCCCAGGGTCAGACAGCTGAGGAAGGCAGAAGCCGGGGTTAGAAGTTGCCTAATCCAGGGCACCTCTGGCCCATGCTCCCCCAAAGTCCAGCCCTCGTCACGTCACTGAGCCCCATTAGGCTTATCTGCCTGTATGCTCCAGCCCCAAACTGCAGGAGCAGGGACTTCAGTGAAGAAAGGAATTGGTTTATTAGAATCGGCCAATCGGGAGACAGCTCCCCTAGCACATAGGTTATAGGTTCTTTAGGGCAAAATTTCGCGACACCATGGCTTGGGGATCCACGGTCATGTTAGGAGCTGATTTGTCAGGTTTAATAAGGGTAATAAATCATTTCTTCTGTCCTTGAGGACACCTCCAAGGTCGGCTCCAGCTTCCAGAGCCGATTTCAAGGGGAAGTAGCCGAGGGGTCGTCCTGCCTGGGGCAGGAGCTGAAGCAGAACTTAGAGTAAGACATTATCTTTAGCCTGCCAGGGGTTTAACCCTGGTGACCCTCCATCTCTCTCTGCCTCTGTGATTAGCCATCATCAAGGGGAGAGACTACGCTCAGGTGGGGTCAGTGTGCTGAGAGACAGAAGGAAACAATAATGTTCTAAAACCATAGTTTGAATGAAATCAGAATGGTGACACTCGGTTTCGGACATAAGCTTCCCACAGCGGACGGGGTAAGTTTCTGCAGCTCCCAGAAGACCTTCGCTGGCCCACAGGTGCCTCTGGGAAGCACCTTTTCTCCTCACCTGCCTTGTGCCAGCCCCTCTGAGGACCAGGGGGTGGCAGGGTCCTACCCCGCCTCCATGCTGTTCTGGGGGTGTCTGCACAGAGGCAGAGCTGCGGGTCACAGGAGCATAGACCCGGGACTGGGGGCTGATCTGATGTTTGCATGTTTCCACCGTAAGTGTCTGGACTCAGAATGGAGGCTGGGAGCTGATGGTCGGGTTGAGCCCCGGTTCTGGCACACACACGACCCCCGGGGGCGCAAGGCCTCCTCTGTGAAATGAGTCTCTGCACCCGCCCCTGGCTCACAGATAGGCCTCTGCCTGAGGGGCCAGCCAGAGCATCAGACCCCCCGAGTGGCCCCCCACCACCGCCTGTGGAGGAAGAACAGGCTCCTCTGCCCTCCACATTCTTCTGGCTAGTCTGACAGTCAGCAGACATGAGACAGATTCTCGAGGGAAAACCACATCGAATACCTTCGTGTGCGGGTCAGGAAACCCACATACACGAGAGAGGCAGGGACCTGCGGGCGGGAGAGGGTCAGAGAGAACAGTATACACCCGGGCGTCCTGAGGAGGGCGAGGGGAGGCGCGTGGGGGCTGCAGAGGCTGGTAAGAGCAGGTGCATGGGGACCGGGTTTGTTCTGCCCTGTGGATGCCTCGGGAGAGCTCTCTGATCGTCGCTATGATGTTGCAGACCCTTAATTCCATTTCATCTGCGTAGTAAGGGGTTGGGGGCAGAAGTGTCTCTTGAGCCTGTGACACAGCGGCCTTCACCTCGGAACAATCCGCAAACCACAGCGGCACCTCCTGGGGTGACTTGTTTGAACCCCGCAGACGGATGGGAGCTGCCGGGCCAGTCCTCAGCTTCTGGACCCTCTGGGTTGGGACAGCCTGAAGTAGGTTGAACAGTCACCCCGAGGTCCTGAGCAAGACTGAACCCCGGCCGCCCACGGAACTAACCTGCTCATCCCTGTCCCCTGCGATTGGACCCCCTCCTACATCATGGGATCTCAGTCCAGATAGTTCTTTTATGCGGCAGTAACAACAACAAAAAACCCAAATAGCAATGGGTCTCTCTGCAGATTTGGGGGGCGTTCTGCTGTCTTATGAAACCACTATCTCAAGGGGAGGGCTCGGGTGTGCAGACGGACCTGAGGACCCGCGAAGCACAGCCCAGCTCTGCAGGGAGCGGGGTCCCTGGCTTCCGCTCTCATTTCATTGCCCACGAAGGCGCGTGGCCACGCCCGGCTGTGGGGAGCAGAGGGGTGGAGTCAGCTCAGAACAATCCGCTCAGAAGCCTCCAGGTGTTCAGGCGTGAGAACCGGAAGTCCTGCTGTGTCCCCCAGGAGAGGCTCCCCGGCCGGAGACGCCCCTCAGCATAGGGTCACGGCTCCCCACGCCAGCGCCACGGTTCTTCCCGAGATCTGTGACGGAGAACCTGCTCCCCGCCCTGCGCTCACCACCTCTGCACCAGAACGATGCCCCCCGAAACTTCACGGCTAAGATGACAACCCAGCATTGGGTTTCCCAGTTTCTGTGGGTCGGGAATTCTGGGGGGCTCCCCGGGGCAGTCTCTCCCGCGACAGGCCTGGCATCGCCTCCTCGTGGTGTGACCTCGAAGCGGGCAGCCTCGGACAGCTGCCCCCGCGATCCTGTTCCGGGCCTCCGGGCGCCTTGCGCACCTGCTCCTCCAAGGTGGGTCGTGCACCCATCCGGATTTGAGGGGAGAGTTCAGATCACCTTGCCGAGAACGCGGGGCAGAGATATTAGCGTGGCCACCGCAGCCTGCAAAGGAGGGGCTCATGGGGGTGAACCCTTGCCCCCTCCAGGACCGAGGCACCCACGCTCCTTACCAGGACCAGCTCAGAGGCCCTGGCCAGGCGCTGCCCCCCCCTCCCCGCCCCCCGTGTGGTTTCTGGCGCCCTAGGCGCTCCGTTAAGGCCTGGACTGGACTTAGAAATGGTGGCACCAGACACGGAAGGACCCCCAGCACCGCCAGCCACAGACATTGATCCTGGTGTGAGGCCAGCAGGGGCCTCGTCACCCCCAACAGATGTGGGAACCAAGGCCACTGCGCTGCCCAGGGTCACCCCTCGCGGGAGCTGCAGCTTCGCCCACGGCCTCCCGACCACTGCGGGCCTGCCAGGCCCCTCCCTCCGGGCTGGGCAGACTGGACTTTAGAGGAACTGGTCAAGGGACAGAGAGAGAGGAAGCTGCCCCGAAAAGGTTCCTGACTTGCCCAGAGCCGAATGAGAATCAAGGTGCGCGAGCTTCTCTTTTCCACACGTGGAAACTGAGGCCCGCAGTGGGGAGGGGCGCAGCCGAGGTCACATGGGCGGGGGCAGGGCGGCGAGCGGCAGAGGGGGCGGCCCTGTCTCCCGAGCCAGGCTGGGCCAGGCGCTGGGACTCAGTTCTCAGAGAGGAAGGTGCAGAGCCCTCTGCTTTCCAGACGAGCAACTGCCACTAGGCTTTCCGTGCTTTAATTTCTGTCTTTTTATTTTTATTTATTTATTTTTAGCCTCACCCAAAGACATTTCTCCATTTTTTGTTCAGATAGAGCAGGAGGGAGGGAGAGAGGGAGAGAGAAAGAGAAACATCGACGTGAAAGGGACACATCGAGTGGCTGCCATTCGCATCACCCAACCAGGGCCGGGGACAAACTGCAACCGAGATACGTGCCCTTAGCGGGAACTGAACCTGGGTCTCTCTGGACCACAAGCCGTCGCTCTAACTGCTGAGCCAGACTGGCCAGGGCTAATTTTGTGTCTTTTTAAATGTTTTCCTCAGCCGTCCCCTGGGCTGGAAGGGGAGCTGCCCAAGGCAGGCTGGAGAAGCCGCAGAGCTCAGGGAAGCGCAGAGCCTGGTGAGTGAACCAGTGTCTCTGGGCAGAGCTGCTGCCTGGCCCCTTCCTAGGCTGCTTCCAGCAGGTGCCCCTGCTGGAAGGGAAGGGCTGGGCCCCTGGTGTCCAAGCGGAACGTATCAGAAGCCCCCCGTGGGTCAGAGCAGGCCAGCTACCTTGGGGTTGCCTCCTCCAGGAAGCCCTCCATGTTTTCAAGAGGGTGCTTTACCTCTCAGGAGGGTGATGGACACCTGCTTTCTCTTTCTTCCTGTCTGGCTGCTTTATTTATTTATTTGTATTTAAATTTTTATTATTATTATTATTATTTTCTTTATTGATTTTAGAGAGAGAGGAAGGGAGAGGGAGAGAGAGGCAGAAACATCCATGAGAGAGAACATTGATTGGCTGCCTCCTGCATGCCCCCCACTGGGGATCGGGCCCACAACCTGGGCATGTGCCCTGACCTGGGAATCGAACTGGTGACCTCCTGGTGCAGGGTTGATGCTCAACCACTGAGCCACACCAGCCGGGCATGCACTGGTGTCTCTTTATTTTTTTTATTTTTTAAATCCTCACCCGAGGACATTTTTGCATTTATCATCAGATAGAGCAGGAGGGAGAGAGGGAGGAAGAGAGAGAGAAACATCGATGTGAGAGAGACACGTTGAGTGGCTGCCACCCACGTGACCCCAACCAGGGCCGGAGACAAACTACAACTGAGATACAGTGGGAACCGAACCTGGGCCTCTCTGGACTGCGGGCCAATGCTCTAACCACTGAGCCAAACTGGCCAGGTCTGGTGTCTCTTTAATCAGACTCTGGGGCATCTTCTGTCTCAGCTCCCGGAAATTCCTTGCCTGTGTTGTCTCCATCTGGACTGGCGCAGCTGTGTCCTCCGTCTCTGTATTCTGTGCCGGGCGGACGTGTCCTGGGGAGAGGGGGGCGTGTCCGCCTCCTCCGGCAACGCTCCCAGCCCTGTGCATTTCTGCTACTCAGCACACTGGCTGCTTTCTGTGGCCCCAGGGACCAGATTCAATTTCCCAAATTCTCCAGCTGGTCTTTCTGAGGGTCCGATATTGTGTCACGTTGGCTCTAAATTCTCATTCTGACAACGTGAACTCCCTTTCCCCGGGTGTCAGTTCCCCGGTTTAGGAGTTTGAGGCGCATCAGTCATGGGGCTCAGCTTGGTATCTGAGGTTCACTTAGCTGCAGGTTATCAAATCTGTGCCCCGCGGCCTGCCTCCACTCACTGTGGGGAGCAGACAAGCCCTAAGGTTCTGTGCTGGGGCTCCCCGTTCTCCCTTCTAGGGTACTGTCTGTCTCCTGAGCCCTGGCACCCACACTCCTCTCCCCACTCTCCCCAGTGCAGGGGTTCTCTGCTTGGTCCAGGGGTGTGTGTGTGTGTGCGTGCACGCATGTGTGTGTGCACATGTGTGCTGTGGAAAAGGTCCAGCTCACCCGCTGGCTCCTACCTCGGTACCCTAAACAATGATTCTCTCTGGTCCCCAGACCCACCCCTCCAGGGCCTCTGTCCTGTGACGTTTTGCCGGAGCTGCCCTCCCATGATTGTTCATCATCAGGCCCAGCCGCCTTCCACTGTAAGACAGTTGGCTCTCTTCTTCTTGTGGTTGGGACTGGGGTGATGGGGGAGTCTTCGGTGAAATCCAGCCCCATACTGGACCCCATTCCTGTGTGCTTCTGGGCTTCCTCATCTCTGAGCCTTAGGCAGTTTGAGTGACGAAAGGCCAACTGAAGCTGGGCCCTGGGCTCAGCTTTTTAAAAAAATATTGTTGGATGTAAAATGTATTACAGATGTTCCACATTTTTCCCCCATTGACCCCCTCCTCCCTACTCCTGCCCCCCTCCCGCCTTTTCCCACACTGTTGTCTGTGTCCATTGGTTATGCATATAAGTTCTTTGGTTTATTTCTTCCCACCCCCCAACCCCTTTCCCTTTGAGGTTTGTCAGTCTAGCAATGAATTTGTGCTTCTTAATCCCTTCACCTTTTTCACCCATTCCCCCAACCCCCCTCCCAACTGGCAACCAACAAAATGTTCCCTGTATCTATGAGAATGTTTCTGTTCTACCTGTTCATTTTGTTTGTAGATTCCATTGTTGATAGATATGTATTCATTGCCATTTTGTTTGTTCATATTTTTTAGCTTTTTCTTCAAAAAGACCCTTCATCATTTCATATAATAACGGTTTGGTGGTGATGAACTCCTTTAACTTTTCTTGTCTGGGGAAGTCTTTATATGTCCATCGATTCTAAATGACAGCTTTGCAGGATAGAGTAATCTTGGTTGTAGCTTCTTGCTTTTCATCACTCTGAATATTTCTTGCCACTCCCTTCTGGCCTGCAAAGTTTCTTTTGAGAAATCAGCTGACAGCCTAATGGGAACTCCCTTGTAGGTAACTAGCTGCCTTTCTCTTGCTGCTTTTAAGATTCTCTCTTTGTCTTGAACCTTTTGCATTTTGATGATGATGTGTCTTGGTGTGGGCCTCTTGGGGTTCATCTTGTTTGGGACTCTCTGTGCTTCCTGGACTTGTATGTCTGTTTCCTTCACCAAGTTAGGAAAGTTTTCTGCCATTATTGTTTCAAACAGGTTTTCGATTTCTTGTTCTCGCTCTTCTCCTTCGGGCACCCCCAAGATGCGAATGTTGGCACGCTTGAAGTTGTCCCAGAGGCTCCTTACAGTATCCTCATTTTTTTGGATTCTTTTTTCTTTTTGCTGTTCTGATTGGGCATTTTTTGCTTCCTTATATTCCAAATCGATGGTTTGCTCCTTGGATTTACGTACTCTATTATTGAAGCTGTGTAAATTATTCTTTACTTCAGTTAATGCCTCCTTCAATTCTAACTGTGCATCCATGATTTCTGACTGGTCCTTTTTTATGCTCTTGAGGCCCTCACTAAGTTCACTGAGGTTCTCACTAAGTTCACTGAGCATCCTTATAAGCAGTATTTTGAACTCAGCAAGGTTACTTATCTCCATTTCGCTTAGTTATTTTCTTGGGGTTTTGTTCTGTTCTTTCATTTGGGACCTGTTTCTTTGTCTCCTCATTTTGGCTGCCTCCCTGTGTTTGTTTCTATGTATTACTTAACGAGAGGTATGGGGCTAGCTGAGACCAGATGCTGCTCGTTTGAAAGAATTTAGGAAAAACCTGAAGCAGGATCCAAGTCAGGCCAATCCTATGGTTAAGCAAGTGGCAACAGCTTGGGTGGGCCTGAAAGTTGGGTGGGGCAGGGCGGGGCCTCAGGGAGTCACCAGGGCGGGGCTACCAGTGTGAGCCAGGTTGCTGGAGTCCCAGATATGGCTTCTGTCTGCCCCCCCCCCCCCCCCGGAAGGGCTCACCAAAGGAACAAAGGTTTCTGACAGCACGTTTGTCGTGGAGAAAGCCCCCTCTCCAGCCCTCGCTCCAGTGCCAAACAGCTCAGTTCTTCCCTGTATGTCTCTGGCGCCCCTCGGGCTGCCTCCCCTCTGAGCTTAGAGGGAGAGAGTCCGATAAGTCCGTGCGCGGGCCCTTTAAGGAGCTGCCTGGGGCTCCAGCCGCCTCAGCCTCCCTGAGCCTCAGTTCCCGCTGGTTTTTCCAGCCAGAAGTTATGGGGATTCTCTTCCTGGAACTGGAACCCTGAGCGGGGCACCTGGTGTGGGACAGGGGCCCTTCAGTCCCCAGGGAGGACAGTCCCAGATGAGGTGTCCTCCTGATTTTTATCTGCCACACTTGGGTGGGGACCAGCCCGTCCGCCCCTCCTACCAGTCTGGATGTGGCTGCTTCTTTAATTCCGTAGTTGTAGGACTTCCATTCAGCTTGATTTCAGGCGGTTTTGAATGATGGTTGTTCTGTAGTTTAGTTGTAACTTTGATGTGGTTGTCGGGGG